CTCTCGCCGCCGGCGCCGCCCCGCATCCTCCGCGTCCTCGGCGTCCGAGCCCTCCACTGGCGACGCCGCGCCCGCGCCTCGGCCTGCAGCATCTAGGGGAGAAGGCAGCGCGACCAGAAAGCGGGGAGGACCGGCCCTGCCCCCGCCCCAGCTCCCCTCCCCCACCGCGCAGCCTCGCTGGCGCCTCTCAGGATTTGGGTTCTCGGGGTGCAGCATCCCCTATAGGCACCTGCTGCGTAGAAGTGCCCTAAAAGTGAAGTGACTAAAGAATGGCATTGCTCCCCGACCCTACAAGAATGACTAGTCTGCGTATAGGACGCTCTGTGAGGGGCCTGGATTAGGGGCTTTGAGACATCATTTCGGGCTGTGTCTCCCCAGTCGCTCGAAGCCTATTTTAGTCTGACACTCCTGGCAATTAAAAAAGAAGTTATTAAGTCCCCCTCCCCTTAAAGTTAAATTCCGCTTTCCCATCTTCCCTCTTCTGCCGTGTTAATAGAGTTTCAGATTTGTGCGGGCCGGATCGATAGATGTCATCTATTAAAGGTAAGTTTTAATCGAACAATATTAGGATCAGACAGGGAAAGGGGGTTTGAAGTCGGTACCTGCAAGCTGCAGGGCAGGAGATATGCAGGCGCCAGTAATAGAATATCGATCACCAGGCTGGGGAGGGGAGAGCCGGCCCCTCCGAGGGGCGATAGGGACAATTACCAGGCCGGCGGCCGGGGCCCAGGCGCGGCCTCCAGAGGCGCCCCAGTCCCAGACAATCACCGCCGAACTCTGGGAGGGACCTGCGCCCTGCTCCTCGGCGTGCCCACGCCTCCTCCTGGCACGCGTCCCGCGGTCCTCAGTCCTCCCTTCCTGCCACTAACTTTCCGAGACCCTCAGCAGGCGCCTGCCAGCGTTGGGGGGGGGGGCAGTAAAAGAGAGTTTCAAGAGAAAAGCCCCAAAGCCTCCGCATCCACACCCACCCGCCAGGCCCAAGCCCCAATCAAAGTTGGGTCTGGGGAGAGGGAGCGCGCGGGGCGGGCGAGTCTCTCTCAGCGCCTCGGTGTGAGGAGAACCGGGCATTCTCCAAGGCTGGGGCACGTGACTTGACTGAGCCTCAGCTCTCACATCCGTGAAATGGGAGTGGGGTTTAGGCTGCATCTACCTGGCAAGTTGCTAAGTTTTTTCATCCCACCCCCTAGCCAGTTTCCGGCACGTGGAGGGCGCGTCTGAAAGTATGCGCCTGGGCAGGGCGTGTGCGTGCACCTGGTCCGCTCGGGGCTCTGGGGGTGGTTGGGGGCAAATATCTGCCCCAGGACGTGGGATCCCCCTTTACCTCCATCCAGCTCTGGATCCTGCGGGGTTATATTTCACGCCTCGCCCCTTCAAGGAGCCGTGGCTCGATGAGTCTGACCCAGTGCCTGTCCCCTACCCCAGCCGCGCGCATCCTCCGAGCCTGGGTCGCCCAGGGCCGGGCCTCCTTGTATTCTTACCAGGGGTTTGCTGATGCCAGGCAGGGTCCCCGGGGCTGGCGTCTTTCTCCGCTTCAGCCTCCGCCAAACTTTTCTTGGCTTCCCGGAGCGCGGGGCGCACAGCCGGGAGCGCGGCGCGGGTGAATTTCTGCGGGTCCAGGATGTCCAGGACCGAGAAGGAGATCTTGTGGGGGGAGGGAGCCGCCTTGGCTCCGCCATCCTGCCATGCCAGCATGCCCACCGCCCGGAGGCCAGAGGCCGGGCGGCGAGGAGTCCGGAAAGGCCGCGCACCGGCTCGCAGTCCTGCTAGGGTTCGGCCGCTGCTCTCCGGAGGGGAGGAGGGTCGGGGCAGCCCGGAGGAGCCGGGGGTAGGAGTAGGAGGGGGCGGGGAGAGCCGCGGGGGGCTGCGCGCCGATTGGCACTTGCGCATCCGAGATCCCTCGCCACGTGCAGGGCGCGCTCACAGTCGCCCCAATACTGGCAGGCACATCGTGGGGACGGGTCACCTAGCGGAGGGGGCGCTCGGTGCGCCCTGTGCGCGCGCCCGCCACGACAGTACCTCTGGCTCCGCGCGCCTCCGCCCAACCCGAAGTGGCTCGGGCTGTACGCTGGGGTGAGCGTGAAGCTTCCACCATACACCCCTCTGTCTTGGGTATGCGCTCCATCCCTCACCTTTGGTTTTGGGGTGCAGTGGAAGCCAGGATGGCTTACTTCTCCAAGGCAATGCTCAGCGCATCTCCTACCCAGCCGCTGAGCCGCGGCGGCGCAGAGCCATGGCCTTAGACCCGACCGCCTCGCATTTAAAGCCCCCACTGTTCTCCCAGTTCACCGCTCAGTAACCCTGTGGGGGCCGACCTGGGCGAGGCCAGGGCCCCGATGGTTATCAGTGCTTTAAAGAGGAAGAAATTGTGCTTCAAACAGAAGTGATTTACTTGGTGACTGAGGCTGGATTTGAACCCAAAGCACTGTCCTCCCCACCACATCCTGCTGCTTCAGTGAAGCAATGGTGAAAATCCTGTTCAGTTTCCGGTGTCTTTCCGGTCCACCGCAGAGCCGAGCTGGGTCAGAAGCGCAGCGGGGCGTGTAGATGGGTGACCGAGGGCCCCCATCCCGCTGGGAACAAAGCTGACGTGAGATGAGTGAGCGCGGCTGCCAGCACCACCCTGGATGTCATTTCGGCCCCTTGCAGATCCAATGTTTGAAACCAAATCTGGATCTTTGGCCATCAGGATGCTTCTTTGAAGCCCCATCTCCTCTCCGCCCCAGGAAGAAAGACGCTAAGAGCGGTTTGGATGACATTTAAGGCCAGAGAAGTGGCGAAGGTTTGGAACGCCCCAGCTGCCCCACCTGGGGATGGCAAACAGTGGTGGCAGGCTAAGCTTCCGGCAGCCACACCCAGCTGGCCATTCTCACCCCTTATTGCAGTTCTCCAGCCATTTATCCCAGCTCCAGTTCCCGCGGCTGTCCCCAGCGCCTCCGCCCAGAACCACCTCCGAGGCGGCCTGCCTTTCTTCCCTGCCCCATGGGGCTTCCCAACAATGGCCCGGCAATTAGTATTGTCTGAGCAGGTACCGAGTCAGAGGGGAGGGGAAGCCTTCCAGGCGAGGGCAGGGGCTGCTAATCCCATGTTACTGAAGAGGCGGCCTCTGGGGCCAGCTCCTTGTAGTTTTCTCATTCAAGCCCTGCCTTCCCTCCCAGAGGCGGCCACCCCTTTCACTGTGGACTTTAAAGGCCTGCAGAGATTCAAACCAGCCGCTGCCCTGGGGGAAGATGGATTGTGCTTTTAAAGCTCAGGACAGGAAGTGGCCTGCCATGGCCACCTGCCACCACTCTGGCCTCCAGCAGCCTGGGATCCAAATAATGGGACCCTCATGACTGACAGATGGGACCCTCTGCCTTCTCTTTCCTCAACTCTTCTCTCAGACTCTATTTGATCTTTTTCTAAATCTTCCTTTTCTCTCATCTCCTCACATTTCCTCATACTTAGATGTTTGAGTCTAGCTATGAAAGTATCCGCTTCAGCATGAGATTATGTTTTCCCCGGGCCCCTCTTCTGACCCATTTTTCTGCAAGAAAGCTTGAGACTTTTTCTCCTGGGACAAGGACAGTGTTCCAGAGGCAGCCCATGCCCAAACTAGGGAGACGGCGTGCTTGAGGTGGGTGGGAGTGTCTCATATATTGGTCATTTTTATTCCAATTTATAAGCTGTGGGGGAGGGGAGGCCGAAATCATCTTTTCTTTGAAGTTCAAGCTGTTAGATATTGGGGGAGGAGAGAGGTCAGGTTAGAACTGCTCCAGGTGGTTTTCTGGGTGTCTCTAAGAGCAGCAGATAACTAGGCCTTATTTCCATAGGATTCGAGTGGTCCGACCGAACTGGCAACGTTTATGTTAGTGACTAGGGCAAACTCTGCCATCCACGAGCTTAGGCACAGGAAAGGAGCCGCAAAATAGAGAAGAGGCAGATTGGAGAGGCAAGAGCCCAACAGCCGCATTCTTTGAAGCTTTAACCTTTGGGAACTCCTTATTCATCAAAGACCTCTTGTAACTTCAGCGTTCGTTCTGGTACAGATATTGAGCACAGCGTACTGTCTTCCTGGTTACCTCACACTCAGTACTTGGCTTCTGTAGTAGATTCCACAGAAGAAACACCACGGTGTCACGTGTGGCCTGTGGACTTTGGGCAACAAGAAAACGTCTTTAGTGCTCAGGAGCCGGGCAGTGTAGTAGTGAAGAAATTAGGCTCGTTTGGAACCCACCAACTGCCCATGGGAGAAAGTGGTGGCTTTTGCGTCTGTAAAGGTTTGCAGTCGGAAACATCTTCTCTGCCCTGAGGGGTTGGATCTGGGCTCATGACACGGGCTTGGTTGTTTTGTAGAGTGGGAAAGCTGTACATAACTGACTTACAGAGGAACCACCATGGAAATGGGGTGGGGGTAGGGGTCTGTACTCAGTTCCCAGGGTTACTATGAGGCATAATCACCTCATGGGGGTTTTGTTTGTTTTGGTTTTTAAGGGAAGATGCCTTGTATTTACCTGGCTTAAAAGAGGAAACCCCATTTATATACATTTAGAAAACCAACAACCAAAAGCAAAGTCAACTCCCTGCCATCAAGTCAGAGCCAACCAGTGGGTTTTCAGAGGCTGTAAATGACAGGACAGGAGCAGCGGTGGATTCAAACCACCTGCCTTTGGGCTGGCATGGTAACTCCTTACTCACTAGGACATCAGAGCTCCTAGTCAAAATGACAAATCAGTTCTTGAACGGAATCCTACAGGGGGAGACCCTGGGGAAATGACTGTTCTGGCTACCTGGTTTGTAAAAGGCCAGGAGGC